TGCAGTCACTTATCAAGGTAGCTCTCATGAATCCTCCATAACCTGTCCTTTAGTCTGAAATTAATCAGAATGCTTTCTGGTCCTCTTTGCACCAAAGTACATGTGCTAAAACTGGCTTATTTCGACAGCTTCGGATGTTTGACATCACAATTTGCCTCTGGTTTGGTGTAATTTGTCTCACCTGGAAGGCCAGTATTGGGAGCCCAACACTAATCAAAGATGTCTAAAATAGGGAACATATCGGCAATTCCCTCTGCTTGCCTGTCCTTACGGCGACTCGCAGTAGTACAGGTTTAGGCAACTCCAGAGCTCTTGGCCTCACTGCTCTTTGTGACACGTCCTTCGATCGCCCATTGCCCGCTCAACTCTTCTTGTTGAGCCTAATTACTTACTGCTTGTGACCCACTGGGTTCTCTTTGTCCGTCTTCATTTCCCAACAAACTCATAAAACATTGCATCTCTATAAGAAACTACAGGTTGGTCATTAAAAATATATCCTAGAAAGTAGCTGCATGGCAAAATGTAAAGTTATATTTGAATCCCCTCGTATACAGGACTTAATGGTACTGTGGTTCGTTTCTCGGATGTTGGCATAGGTTTCACTGCTTGTGCAGGTCACCCAGTTATCATAGGGCTTCCTCCGGAGGCTTTGATCTTGCCGCTTTCTATTATTATTAGACGATTCCATATGCACGAAAAGTCAGCATAGCGTTTTTTAGACCATTAGTGCAATCTCCCGAACATTCACAATTTGATCGACAGCCCTCAACGCTAATTGCTGCCGACAATTGACTCGCGGAACCGAACGTTGTCACAACACCCTGTAGTGGCAGCGGTGACTTGAGCGTAAATTTGTTTGTATTGAGGGTACTTTGCGCCTAAACAACCTCTTCCGCTGGATATGGGCTCGGGTGTCGTGGCGGGCTTGAAATCAACTACTTATCAACTGTTTTACCCTCTCCCGATATCCGAGCCAGGCCTCATAGATAAATCCTACGTTTAACGGGGCACGCACGGCCACCCTAGTCTGGAGTCATTCACCAATGTAAACAGTTGCCGGAGCGTGGCCGTTGAGCTCAGCACACATATATGGAGTCACATATGCGAGCCGGATGCCAGGTGGGGTCCCAGGAGAATGGAGACGTTTGAGGGGTTGTCTTTGTTGCAAACCCACCAAACTGCCTATTCTGTTTAAATTACTGAATCCACCAGTTGGGTGAACAAACCTCTCAATCGAACTCTTTCATCCCGGTTACTTTGATTTTTTTTACCCACGCTAGGCCTCTCCAACCGCTCGCTTACTGACACCGTCCTCCCAGCCAGCTTCTGCTGTCTCCACCATGCGTATCCCTCAAATCGCCCAACTTGATGGCATCGACGACCGCGGTCTCTCGTCTAAAGGCGGTTCCGTGTCAGGCAAAAATGCCCGTCAGGCGCGTAAAGGAGTTTCAGTCAAAAAGAAGTGGATGGTCGAGCGAGAGAATCGTGAAGAATTGAGGAATCTAATCAGTAAAGCTAAACAGGAGAATTGTGACCGCCTCTACCAACGCGAGTTGACCACCCATGTAAATTTCGCGCCGGTTTTCCATGGTGGCACAGATACTTGCCTTTTTACCCTATAGACCCACTACATCTTCTCTTTCCGTTTTTGTCATCTATTTACAGGCGGAATCTTTTCGTCTTTCCTTCTCCGTTGACAACGTCATTAAGGCGGCTGCAACTCCCGCGGCCGCCTGGGGTGCTGTTCTCCAACGCGTTGCGCAGTTGCGTTCACAGCAGGGCTTGACCCCTCTGACTCCTCGGTGTAAGTACTGCTTGTATAATCGACTTTCTTCTCCCCTGTCTGTCTGCACTGCTATGGATTATTGTTCCTGTTTGCTCTTGGCCTCTTCCAATGTCCCTTTTTGGGTATGGGTGTGGATGAGTGGTGATTGCAAGCAAGTCAAGAACGGCCATGTAAATCCCATCTGTCTTTTCTGGTAACACTCCCTCTCTGCTCTCTTCAGCTGTCGACGGATGGACGCAGTTTGGACTGAACCATCGTCACGTAGTCTTCCTCGTCGAGCAGCTGACTAATGCGTTCACTTGCTACCGTTACCGATTTCGTTACCATCAGTACCGAATTGATCGACTTCGAGAAATGGTAAGCAACCGGTTAATTTTTCTCTTTCTTACACGTCCTAGTATCTAGATGCTATGCAATTTCATAATTTTGTTGGTGGTCAAATTTAAAAAACTTATATTTTCTCAAGCAGTATCAGGTCAGTTTTATTCGGCGAAACAAAAGTTGGCTAAAATGTATATTTTGCAAGAGGTTCCTGCCTGTTTCTCATTATGTAAGACGATATTTGTAATGCCCTCCCGGTAAATACGAACTTTTTTGCGAAGGTAGATCACTCTATGCCACCACAGTGATTTCCATAACAGCTGGAAAACTGCCTTTGCAAAACAAATTCGTGGTTTGTCCTCTGTGCAAAAATCTTGAGGCCACGTAGGATAACCACAGTTTTTATTCCGGTGACGTTGTACGGAGATAGCCCCACCGGTGGCGTAAATCAATGGTGAAAAAACAACGTTCTCGACACGGCAAAGTGATATATGCAACCGAGTGGTGTTTGAATTCCCCCATAGCCTTGGACGAGATTGATATTGGCGCCAGGATGATAGGAACTGACACAAAATGTTCTTTGAAACGTTGTCTTGAGCCTAGTCTATCACCAAAACTCGGAAGATTCGTTGAATTAAATAGCCTTTCAGAATATTAAAGGGAGCGTCGTGTGTGTACATGGGCCCACCACACATCCTCGTATCTCGTGTAGTATTTCTATAGTACACCTTGACGCCGCTCGCGTTTCTGTAGGTTGCTGTGTGCGAATAGAATATGAAAATAGAATTTAGTTCTTCTGTCCGAATTTAGTGTCCCCTAGAGACAAATATGTGATTTTCGTTCATTTTGCTTGCCGTATTTTCAATCCTGGATTTAGCAGTAGTCAAGTTTTCGATTCGCAATGAGGCCTTGGTCGTATCGTATGTTTTCTCCACCATGAAGGTATGGGCGTATTCCGCACTGGATCGTATTTGGTGGTGCTTCTGCTGCCTAAACATTGTTTATTCAGTTGTTTTATAAAACATACTGATCATTCGCCCCCTCACATCAGAATCGTTTTATGTCTCAACCCCCTCTCCTTCCTTCACCTTCAGCAGTCGATTTAATCACTTACTAAATTAAGCTGAATTTCAGTAGCATTTATTTATATGTCGGTGTCGGCTAGAGTGTAGAGACGGCATATATCTGAGGTGTCTCTATCCTGTTTTTATAGTTTACACCCCCTGTTCCGGTCCGTGAGGGCTGTGCACGCGCCATGCCCTGCCCCGTATCTCCCCGCAATAATGGCATTGCTCGAGATCCCCTGGATTTCCTCTCCTGCCGCTC